TGTTCTGCTATTAGTCTATAAAAACCGATCACTATAAAAACTGAGCAAAGTATAAATGACTTGTCACAGATCTACTTGAAAATGAATTTGAGCTCAAAAAGTCGATCAAGCTAATGAATTTGAACAGATTTACAAGAAACAGTTTCTTCGACACTTTCTTAAATCGTCTAGGCATAAAATTAGAGATTGGTTTATTGAATGGAAATTGTAGTTCTTCTGTCTGCTGGTTCGATTATAAATAAAAACTTAATCTAAGCTCGGTTAAAAATCAACTCTTCATTTGTCCTCGTAGCTGGTCAAATCAATTATGTAGACATTGGATATGAGACAATCGCCCTCCTGCAAAATAAAAATGTTTGTATATAAAGTTTTTTGGAGGTTCAAGTAACTATATTGCATACCGCTGGCGTGATGCCAACCAGCGCATCAGCATGACCATAGAACTCTTCCTTGAGAGATATGACAATTGTCTGCAAGTTGGTCGTATGATCCCGAATATAGGAGGCGACCTTGCCGATGTTTGTGTTATCCAAAGCGGCGTCTATCTCGTCAAGCACAAAGAACGGCGCGGGATGATAGCTACGCAAACAAATAATGAAGATCAGTTATTTTCCTGACGCCTTTTATAGACTCCGACTCACCTGTGCGTGGAGAAGAGCAGTGCCAGAGCAGCTATAGTCTTTTCGCCACCACTCAAATTGCTCATGGGCTGGAAACGTTTGCCGGGTGCCACACAATTGTAATTGATGCCATCTAGGTAGGGTTCCTCGGGATTGTCGGGTCCAATGTACGCCTGGGCGGCCTCATTGCGAGCCAGTTTCTTGTAGATGCCGTCAATGGCATCGGATATATGCTGACAGCATTGCACGAATCGTGATGAGCGTTCGTTCTTCACCTTTTCGAATGCCGCTTTTGCCTTTTTGGCTTTTCGCCTGGCATTCTCGAACTCTTCGTTTGTCGACTGCACCTTCTCCGTAACAAGATCCAGTTTTTGCATTGCTTTCATATTCGGCGTCTGTATGCGCTCCAATACATCCAGTTTGCTTTGCAGATCCTTCAGCAGCTGTTCATTCATTTTCTTGAAGGCGGAGTCGTCCTTCAGTTTGCACAGCTCGCGTGGCAATGATCGATAGTCGACCTCGATGCTGGAGACAAATGTGATTAGATGGTTAAGACTTTTGGTCTGCACGAGTTGGCATACTCACAGATTATCGTGCACCGTTGACGTTGATGGTTCCACACTATCCACATCACTTTGCCGCACTGCATCGTCCAGCGAGCCGCGCAGTAGGGGTACCACAATACAATCCGTCTTTGGAGTAAGAAACATTGTTAATACAAATTGGAATGTTCTTTTTGCGCACATACTTTAGCCTGTAGCAATATGTTTTGTCTTTCGTTTTTCTTGGCCTCGATTTTGGACTCCGTTGAAGACATTTGGCTGCCCACATTGTGAATTTCCTTGGCCAAGTTGGCAACATCTCGTCGTGCTTTAGATATGTCCTCTTCCATGTCATCGACTGCCTGTTTCTTGGCTTGCTTTTCCTGCTTGAACTTCTCCATTTTCTCCTTCTCCTCATCCATTTCTTTCAAATAACGCGCCTCAGCGGCTTTGAGGCCCTCCAATGCATCTTCCTCATCCTGTACGCTGCGTTCCCATCGCTCGACGTTCTCTATAAAACGTAATAATTTATTTAAAATGTAATGTTAGACACTTTTAACTTTAGTTAACCAACTTCGTGTGTCCTTTTGCTTTTCGAAGTCCAGCTGAGTGTTAATTGCATCGATTTGTTGCTCAAACTCGGCACGTTTGCGTGCTCTTTCCTGTTGCATGACAAGCTCACGCTCCTCGTACTGTCGAATGTTCTTCACACCTAGTCGACGACAAAAGGCGGCAAACACCTTGTCCTCCACATTATTCATGTTCTCTTTGATCTCTTGTATGTGCTCCTCTCGATCTTGCATGCGACGCTCAATTTCGTTGATCTTTGGCTACGAACGGAATAAATTGACAGGTTACAAAACTTGGATTTGATTTGGTAAGATTTGTGTAGCACCTACCCCGAAGTCATCCAACTGGGTTTGCACTTGCTTTAACTGGTTATCGTATTGACTGATGGACTTTTTCGATGACTCCAAGTCCACCATGCTGTATTTCAGACGATTCTCGAGGCCCTTAATCTGTGACTCAACTGTTGCCAGCTCACTTTGCTTGCGCGACTTTTTGACCAGCTCCTTCAGCTCTTCGTTGAGGCGTTCCTTTTGCATCTTGAGCTGAGCCATATGCTTTTCATCCCAGCGTTTTGCCTTGCGTGCCAAATCATGACTGCCGCCAGAGATGAGGCCAGACTTCTGATAGAATGTGCCATCCAGTGCCAATGCATCGAATCGTGATCGATCTATTTCGTAGGCCACCTTCATGGCATCCTCCGGCGTTTCGCAGACCAGCGCATTGCCGGTAGCAAAAAGCACAGCACGTTCGATCTCTTGCGGTTCGAATTTGAGCACATCGAAGACCAGGCGCACATTGCGCGGCTCGCTGATGTTGCGCAGGCGTTCTTTTAGTGGTTTAACCTGCAAATAGTCCAGCGGCAGAAAGGTCTCCACCTCTAACATTTGCTCTTTCAAGATCTGCAGGAGACAGAGAAATGATAAGACAAAGAAAACATAGATGCCAGCTAAAAACCCACCTGAATGCAATGTCGCGCAGTTTTCTCAGTGTCCACGATAATGGCTTCCATAAACTTGCCCAGCACCTTGGTAACAGCCACGTTGTAGCGCTTGTGCGTGGGCTGGCACATGTTGATCATACGATCGTATACGCCGGGCACTTGTTTCTTGAATAGCTCGACTACTTCCTGTTTTTTCTTGCGACGGGCATCTTCGTGCTTGTCGCTCTTGGCATCACCCAACTGATCGCGAACGTTTTCCAGCTCACGTTGTTTTTCGGCAATTTTCTCCTTTGAGCTGCCCACATCGCGTCGCAGCTCGTCCTTTATGCGATTCTGTTCTTCGAGAGCGGCTTGAGAGGATTTTATATGGTCCATAAGCTTATCGCGGCGCTTTACAGCTTCTTCACGCTGCAGCGAGAGCTTCTTGTACGATTCCTCAACGGACGCCCTGCGATTAGTTTCCCCATCAAGCGTATCCTGTTCAGATTTTTGCTCACGGTTGACCGAGTCCAACTCGGAGCGATACTGTGTGGCAGTTGCTTCGGCCTCCTGTTTCAGCCGATCGTATTCCTGCACGAGTCCTTCCTCCATGTTGACGCTTTTGCCACGACGTTGCGACTCGTTTTCGATTTCGTCTTCGAAACGCTTTTTCAATGCCTCCACATCACTGAGTTGCTTTTCCAGTTTTTGTATGTCCTGCTGATGGGCATTGTCCGCTTCGCGCGCTGTTTCCAGTGTCTTTTGCAGGGACACCAGCTTCTTCTTGCAATGCGTCACCTTTTCCTTTGCTTTTATGTATAAGGGACGTCGTTTATTTAGCTGTGTCTCAAATTCACGTATCTCCTGATCTATTTTGGCCAAGTCTCGCGTTATTTTGCCAGCATCTTTTTTCTTTTCGCGCAGAATCTCGTCGGCAGCCTCTTTGCGTTGCTCAACGGCTTTCAGCTCCTGCTGCTTCACTTCCAAGTCTGCAGTGTACTTCTGTATATCTTTTTCGACGTGGAATAGACGAAACAGTTGATACTCCACTTGTTTCTCGTTCTAAAATGAAAGCATAGCACGGATTCTTGACATTCAAATTCTCAAACATCTGAATATAGAGCATACATATTCGTCCTGCAAGCGTGTGTAGCGTTCGGCCTCCATTTTTTCATGTTTTGCTTCCTTTCGTTCGGCAGCAATTCCCTTTTTCTTCTGGTACGTAAACTGGGTTTCCTCTTCAGCGACAATCATCTCCTGCTTTAGCCGATTGTAATCATCCTTCAGCAGACCAGACCTGGCAATCAAAATCAAATAATTAATGAAATATATTATTTATTTGCTTTGCGCCTTACCCGCTGATTTCTTCAAATAGAGCGGTGCGTTCCTTGGGCGTCTTCATGGCAATGTTCTCCACTGCTCCCTGGAACACCAAAAAGTTCTTGGCCTTCACATTGATGCCCAGTTTCTCCAGCTTGTTTAGGTATGTGTTGCTCGAGACACTCTAGAAATAATCATGCAAAATTAACTTTTTGTATAGAAAACATGTGTGCACCACATACTTCGCCATTGATTCGATACTCCGAGGAGCCGCTTATTACGGCACGCTGAAAATCCATGTGTTTCTCGCCATCCAAAATAAATTTAGCCGTCACATAGCAGCTGCGCGCCACTGGCTTGCCAATGGAGGAGCCGTGTATTAGATCATTCAGGCGCTTTACACGCAGGCTCGACGTTTTTTCACCCATTACAAAGCTAATGGCGTCCATGAAGTTTGATTTACCAGAACCATTGGGTCCTATAACAGCATTAAACTGCTTTAAAGGACCCACAACAATGTGGCCACGGTAGGACTTAAAATTTTCCATTTCAATGAATTGAAGAAATGCAGTGTCTTCTTCTGGCTTGCGTGCAGCTGTTGTCGGCGCTTTGGGCACGTTTTCTTCATCATCTTCAGCCATAGTTCAAGCTTATAGACGTAAGTACCACAATAAAAACAATATTTAATAATTTTTCCAAGATGCTCTTGCGCCAAGAAGCTTCTTTTTCAGATTGCCATTCACTGCGACTTGATTTCAGTGTTGCAAAAATACCAACTAGTTAAAAATACAATCGAACAACTCAGACTATCGATAGCTATCGACCTGAGCAAGAGTAATGCTCCGCCTAACATTTTTTTTCCCATATTAACATAAATTCTTTTAATTAAAATTTAATTGGTTAAGTTTAATTGTTATATACCAGATATTATACAATATATCTTCCAATAAAACAAGCATGTGCAAAAAATACCAAAACTAGCAAGAATACAATAACATTGTAGGTAAGATTTTTAAATCAGTTCACAATTGTCAAGTATTTTACAGCACTACAAGCCCCGATTTATTTTCGATAAAAATATTACACCTCATAATTTTCTGGCCACTCTCATAATCTGTTCAAATTTTATAAGGACACGACTGCCATTTAAATTTAAATAGAACTTAGACAAATATGTTGACGTCCATTTTTTGCCGTGTTAAACGACAAATTCCATTAAATCAGGGTATAAAAGGCGCTTATTTGGCATACTGCGCCTACTGCAATAAAGCGCCAATTATTGACAAGAGTATGTTGGGCAAGTTTCACATCGATGTCAGATCTGCCGTCGATATAGAAAAAACTTTCAAATTCCCAGGCAGCCTTAACATTCCAGCGGACCACTTGCCCAAAGCACTGGGTCCAGCTACAAGCGAAGCTGAATTTAAACTCCAATTTGGTCGCGAAAAACCACTTGAAAACACCGAACTTATGTTTTCATGTGCCACAGGAAAGCTTGCAAGATTATCTGCCGTCCAAGCTGTCGCCCTGGGCTACAGATATGTCTGCTTTTACGATGGCAGCTGCGCAGATTTGCTGCAACAGGATAAAAAAATGAACATAGCATAAAATATGAACTTATTACAGCATCCTAGCTTAACAATAAATTAATGTTAACATTTCACATTTAACAAATTTGTTTTTATTTAATATATTTAAATTCTATTATATATAAGTAGGTAACATTCATAAATAAATCATATTTTAATCAACAAAGATTTTTGGTTGAGATCCCATTATACTATAATACTGATTAAACTTAAATCTCTTTCATAACTGCCTCTATTTTAGTCGACCTCCTCGACAGTGGGTCCAGTGTAGCCGCCATTGCCGAAGCCTCCTGCCTGCTGGCCACAGTGCGAGGCTTGAGGACCGTCGCCCGCTCCTCCGGCGCCCTGCTGATGCATCTTGGTCATGACTGGACTACAGAATTTCGTGAGCTCCTGCAGCTTGTATTCGAACTCCTCCTTCTCCGCTGTGGTATTGGCATCGAGCCATTTGATGGCTTCACTGCACTTGTCCAGGATACTGCTGCGGTCTGACTGGGGGATCTTGTCACCAGCATTCTCAGCAGCCTCTTTCACGCCAAAGATGTAGCTCTCCAACTGGTTGCGGGCGGCGATTCTCTGGCGATGCTTCTCGTCCTCCTCAGCGTACTGCTCGGCCTCGTTAACCATGCGATCAATCTCGGCCTGCGAAAGACGACCCTTGTCGTTCTTGATGGTAATGTTCTTGGCATTGCCGGTTCCCATCTCCTTGGCATTCACATTGAGAATGCCATTGGCATCCAGGTCAAAAGTGACTTCCACTTTTGGGACACCGCGCGGCGCTGGCGGTATGCCGGTCAAGTTGAAAGTGCCCAGCACGTTGTTGTCCTTCGTCATGGCGCGCTCGCCCTCAAACACCTGGACAGTCACAGCGGGCTGGTTGTCCGCGTATGTGGTGAAGGTCTTTGACTGCTTGCAGGGAATGCGACTGTTCCGCTCAATCAGTTTGGTCATCACTCCGCCAGCTGTTTCTATGCCCAATGAGAGAGGTGCCACGTCGACCAGCAGCACGTCCTTGATTTGGCTGCTCTCGTCTCCACTAAGTATGGCAGCTTGTATGGCGGCGCCATAGGCGACGGCTTCGTCTGGATTGATGGACAGGTTGAGGCTCTTGCCGGAGAAGAAGTTCTGTAGCAGGCTCTGCACTTTTGGAATGCGTGTGGAGCCGCCTACCAGAACAATGTCGTTAATCTGGCTTTTGTCCATTTTGGCATCGTTTAGAGCCTTCTCCACCGGCTGTAGTGTGCTCCGGAACAAGTCGCCGCACAGCTCCTCGAAGCGCGCCCGACTAATCTTTGTGTAGAAGTCGTGACCCTCGAACAGGGCATCGATCTCAATCGAGGCTTCGCTGCTTGAGGACAAGGTGCGCTTTGCTCTCTCGGCGGCAGTCCGCAGGCGGCGCAGCGCTCGTGGATTGGAGCGTAGATCCTTCTTAAACTTGCGCTTGAACTCGTCAGCGAAGTGGTTGACTAGCCTGTTGTCGAAGTCCTCGCCTCCAAGATGTGTATCTCCAGCAGTCGACCGCACCTCGAACAGAGAGCCCTCGTCGATGGTCAGAATCGAGACATCGAAGGTGCCGCCGCCCAAGTCGAATATTAGAACATTGCGTTCACCCTTGAGATTCTTATCCAGGCCATAGGCCAATGCCGCAGCCGTGGGCTCGTTGATGATGCGCAGCACGTTCAACCCGGCGATGGCACCGGCGTCCTTGGTGGCCTGACGCTGCGAATCATTGAAGTAGGCAGGCACCGTGATGACGGCGTCTCTGATGGTGGTGCCCAAGTATGCTTCGGCTGTCTCCTTCATTTTTACAAGCACCATCGAACTGATCTCCTCTGGGGCGAAGCGCTTCTCCTCGCCCTTGAACTCGACGCTCATCTTTGGCTTTCCGCAGTCGTTGACCACTTTGAATGGCCAGTGCTTCATGTCATCTTGAATCTTTGGATCATCGAACTTGCGTCCAATCAAACGTTTCGCGTCGAAGACGCTGTTCTTCGGATTCATGGCCACCTGGTTCTTGGCCGCGTCTCCAATCAACCGCTCCGAGTCGGTAAATGCCACATAGCTGGGCGTGGTGCGATTGCCCTGGTCGTTGGCTATTATCTCCACCTTGCCGTGCTGGAAGACACCCACGCACGAGTACGTGGTGCCCAAATCAATACCAATGGCCGGCATCTTGGCTGTTTCTTTCTCTTCTCGGTTTACCAACTGTTGTTTTACTTTGATGTACTTGTACTTGTACTTTTATTCAACCGTTTAACTTTTACTTTTACTTTTACTTTAACTTCTTATTTAATTTGTGTTAACTGTTCTGAATGTATTCTAATATGGTACCCTTTTGAGTATGGGTTAGCTTGTTTAGCTTCTCTTTGGTTCGCTTGATGTTTCCACTACGACTGCTTGCTATGAAATGTGACGAGCTGAAAATTTTCTCTGCTATTTATACTCTGACGCTGTGTGGTGGAATATTCGAGATTCCCCTCAATAGAAGAGTACTGACTCCAGACGATTCGAGAGAGTGCGAGCGAGCCAGACAGTGTTTTTTATAGGCGTATATGTATGTATGTGGTGTGTTTGTTGTGTGAAGGGGAACGACTGCTTTTAACACGCACGACTTCCAATATATAATGCGCGGCAAATGCCTTCTGCCAATTATTTGCTTGAGTTTCGACTGGCAGTGCGTATGAAATCAACGACATTTGATTTTTTTGAGAATAAATATGATATTATTTATTTAGTGCAACGAGCCTTAATGCGTTTCGAAAATTTGCTCTGCCCTGCTCCCCTGAGAAATTGGAATGTTGCGTCTTCCAGTTGCGCAGCCGTACTACGTCAAACAAAATGCGCAATTAATCTTTCCCCATGCCAATCGTTGTTGGTAAATATTTTGGCGGCATTTTGGGTAATGCGGTACAAGTGAACTTTATATTCGTAGTGAAAATAAGTTTTCTTTCGTGACTTTTCGACGGAGAGCTGCATCGCGACATTAACCTCTTCGATATTTCAATTTGTTTAACTTGAATTTAATGATAAATGCTATTACATATGTATGTATGTATATTATTCCATTGGTAAGGCTGCCATACCGTTTCCCTTTTAGAGAGTTGCCAAACTTTTTTTTTCCGTATTTCGGATAAATTAAAACAAAAATAGCTTGACACCGGCAAACGCAAGAATGGGGATTTCTAGTTCAATTCACTCGTTTATTTTCTGGTCATTAACTAAATCGGTCATTTAGTTCGCTGGTTTATTCGGTCATGATATATACTTACTGAACAACTGAACATCGGAATAGAATATCGTTAATGAACGAGTGAACGAGTATGGATTATTATTTTGCTCTTATTTCCCTTTCTGCGCTTTCTCTGAACAGAGGATATAAATGTGATATGATATGTGTAAATATATATGCATATGTATGCACACTTTATAGTTTATTTCTAGCTAGAAAAAGGCTTACATGGCTGCGCTGACGTTTATCTGTGAACATACAGACGAGTAATGTCTGGCAGTCTCTCGAATCGTCTCGAACCTTCTGCACTCTTCTTTTGAGGGGAATCTCGAATATTCCACCACACAGCGTCAGAGTATAAATAGCAGAGCAAATTTTCACCTCGTCACAATTCATAACAAGCTATCGTAGTGGAAACACAGCAAGCGAACCAAAGAGAAGCTAAACAAGCTAACCCATACTCAAAAGGGTACCATATTAGAATACATTCAGAACAGTTAACACAAATTAAATAAGAAGTTAAAGTAAAAGTAAAAGTAAAAGTTAAACGGTTGAATAAAAGTACAAGTACAAGTACAACATCAAAGTAAAACAACAGTTGGTAAACCGAGAAGAGAAAGAAACAGCCAAGATGCCGGCCATTGGTATTGATCTGGGAACCACGTACTCGTGCGTGGGTGTCTTCCAGCACGGCAAGGTGGAGATAATAGCCAACGACCAGGGCAATCGCACCACGCCCAGCTATGTGGCATTTACCGACTCGGAGCGGTTGATTGGAGACGCGGCCAAGAACCAGGTGGCCATGAATCCGAAGAACAGTGTCTTCGACGCGAAACGTTTGATTGGACGCAAGTTCGATGATCCAAAGATTCAAGATGACATGAAGCACTGGCCATTCAAAGTGGTCAACGACTGCGGAAAGCCAAAGATGAGCGTCGAGTTCAAGGGCGAGGAGAAGCGCTTTGCCCCAGAGGAGATCAGTTCGATGGTGCTTGTAAAAATGAAGGAGACAGCCGAAGCATACTTGGGCACCACCATCAGAGACGCCGTCATCACGGTGCCTGCCTACTTCAATGATTCGCAGCGTCAGGCCACCAAGGACGCCGGTGCAATCGCCGGGTTGAACGTGCTGCGCATCATCAACGAGCCCACGGCTGCGGCATTGGCCTATGGCCTGGATAAGAATCTCAAGGGTGAACGCAATGTTCTAATATTCGACTTGGGCGGCGGCACCTTCGATGTCTCGATTCTGACCATCGACGAGGGCTCTCTGTTCGAGGTGCGGTCGACTGCTGGAGATACACATCTTGGAGGCGAGGACTTCGACAACAGGCTAGTCAACCACTTCGCTGACGAGTTCAAGCGCAAGTTTAAGAAGGATCTACGCTCCAATCCACGAGCGCTGCGCCGCCTGCGGACTGCCGCCGAGAGAGCAAAGCGCACCTTGTCCTCAAGCAGCGAAGCCTCGATTGAGATCGATGCCCTGTTCGAGGGTCACGACTTCTACACAAAGATTAGTCGGGCGCGCTTCGAGGAGCTGTGCGGCGACTTGTTCCGGAGCACACTACAGCCGGTGGAGAAGGCTCTAAACGATGCCAAAATGGACAAAAGCCAGATTAACGACATTGTTCTGGTAGGCGGCTCCACACGCATTCCAAAAGTGCAGAGCCTGCTACAGAACTTCTTCTCCGGCAAGAGCCTCAACCTGTCCATCAATCCAGACGAAGCCGTCGCCTATGGCGCCGCCATACAAGCTGCCATACTTAGTGGAGACGAGAGCAGCCAAATCAAGGACGTGCTGCTGGTCGACGTGGCACCTCTCTCATTGGGCATAGAAACAGCTGGCGGAGTGATGACCAAACTGATTGAGCGGAACAGTCGCATTCCCTGCAAGCAGTCAAAGACCTTCACCACATACGCGGACAACCAGCCCGCTGTGACTGTCCAGGTGTTTGAGGGCGAGCGCGCCATGACGAAGGACAACAACGTGCTGGGCACTTTCAACTTGACCGGCATACCGCCAGCGCCGCGCGGTGTCCCAAAAGTGGAAGTCACTTTTGACCTGGATGCCAATGGCATTCTCAATGTGAATGCCAAGGAGATGGGAACCGGCAATGCCAAGAACATTACCATCAAGAACGACAAGGGTCGTCTTTCGCAGGCCGAGATTGATCGCATGGTTAACGAGGCCGAGCAGTATGCTGAGGAGGACGAGAAGCATCGCCAGAGAATCGCCGCCCGCAACCAGTTGGAGAGCTACATCTTTGGCGTGAAAGAGGCTGCTGAGAATGCTGGTGACAAGATCCCCCAGTCAGACCGCAGCAGTATCCTGGACAAGTGCAGTGAAGCCATCAAATGGCTCGATGCCAATACCACAGCGGAGAAGGAGGAGTTCGAATACAAGCTGCAGGAGCTCACGAAATTCTGTAGTCCAGTCATGACCAAGATGCATCAGCAGGGCGCCGGAGGAGCGGGCGGCGGTCCTCAAGCTTCGCACTGTGGCCAGCAGGCAGGAAGCTTCGGCAATGGCGGCTACACTGGACCCACTGTCGAGGAGGTCGACTAAAGCAAAAGCATTAAATAGTATTAATTGTAACAAGTTAAGATGTTCGATCTCACAACCAAAGAATTATTTATATTCCTTTAAGTATGTTTGAATTGAATTTAATTCAATAAAAATAGTTAAAATAACCTAGTTTTGAGTATTTACTTGGGCAAGCCTTCATGCTCAGCCCAGTCCAGCCACGAACCTTCATAGTTTTTGACATTTTTGAAGCCCAGCGCGACGGCGGCTTCTGCAGCCTTCAGGCTGCGTACTCCGCTTCTACAATGAAAAACAAGTTCCGTATCGGGCTGTGGCTTCTCGCGAGCATATTTCGATTTGAAGATTTGCTCACTGCTCGCTAGCTCCTGGCTAACAATGCCCAGTGGAATGTTGATGCTGGATGGAACTTGTCCTGTTTCTTTGAGTTCCTTTGGCTCACGTACATCGATGAGCAGCTTCCGTGGATCGTTTATCAATTTTTTTACTTCCGCATAGTCCACTTTGCCAATTGGTTGGCCGCTGCTGTAAAAACGTCCTGTGGCGGCAGCATATGTGATGTGTTTAAAAATGGTTGGTTTCGCTTGGAATTTATTAGTTGCTGCAGTTGTTAAATGGCGCAGTGTGAAACCCGTTGCTTTAACTACAATGGGAGAATAGTTTAAAAGTACTTTAGCCATTTTTATGTTACTTTAATAACAAATGTTATGTAAAATCGAACGAAGGTGGCAACGACACCAATTGCTAAGCCGGTTCTCAGCTGTTATGTTGGATGGCGTTGCCAGACTGCAATTTTTAAATCAGGCGAGCAATTTTAGACAGTTTAAATGTTAAAAACTATTTACTCTAACGTACAGAAATGCTATATAACTAAATATTTTGTTGCCAAGCGCTTGCATTATCACTCAGCGAATACGTGAAGAGTGTGTGTCAAGGCAAAGGCTCAAACAAGTTCACATGAATTGATAAGTCGAATACCCAGCCATTTTGGTTGCGGCTGACGTCTCCTGCTTGATTAATTCAATTAATCGTTATATAGAATAACGATCCCGGATTCAATTACATTCGCTCCCATCTATAAGCATGCATATACATGTACACTGTACACAAACATACACACATACATACATACATTATTTAAGTCAAGCTACGATTTCCACACAGAATTGATAAGCAGAATGTTTTTACTACTTTTGAATTAAGATATTGTTGAATAGTTTTTGGGGCCATACAAATTATGTATAAACAAATGTGTTTACTTCTTTAAATAAAAAACAAATCTGATAAGCAAAGTATATGATTTTATAGCTTAAAATATAGTGGAAAATTTTGGGGCTGTAAATGATATAAATAGTTGTGCGTATATATGAATGTTTGTATTGCTAAATTTACTGATTATTTATATCGAATTAGAAAATTTTTAGTTTAGTAATTTCTTTTCAGAAGCCAAAAGCCTAATTCGCATTAGGATGGCTTTTCCCATGGACCGCCGCCAACGTCTAGGCTGATAACGATTTGTAAATATGTACGTGTGTGTGTGTGTCTGTGTGTGTGTGCTTCCCATGAGGAGGCCCAGGTCACGTACGTCATCAAACGGCGCGTGCCCCAAGACTCGATTCGAAGCGAATAGAATTGGAATAATCTGAGCGCTACATGTACAAGTAAACAAGATGGTATCATCAAAAATCTAGACTTTATAGAATTATGTTTGTAGTCAGACACGACTTACTATATAGTCTAGTAAACAACTGGGGCCAGACATGAATTCCGGATTTCTTTAATGCGAACTTTATTAGTGAAAATAGCTTTACAAACATGTCTCTTATTACTAATGAAATCGTAAATACAACTAGCTATGAGGGAGCGCAGCTAAATCATTGGCAACTAAATACAAATAGGTACATAATGCTTAATAATGCTCTTAATGCTTATACAAAATAGTTAGAACATAGTTCATATTTAAATAAAAACGTTTTGCTATTTTATATGTTTGTGCATGTGTGTTAATAGACAGACTTTTTAGGCAAGTGCACAACACATACATATATAATTATGGCCTCTTTAGAGAATTTTTTAGTTAGTTGCGGTCCGCGATGTGTCCCAGGGATTCGCCGACGCTTATCTTTTGACCTGCCACAATATCGAACTTAAAGTTCTTTGGCGCTTCGAAGAGCAGCACAATGGTGCTGCCCATATTGAACTGTCCGATGAGGTCACCCTTGGAGAACTTTTGGCCCGGCTGATCGGGCTGTTTGACATTTAAGAGTAGCTCATCGTATTCGTAGGTGCTCGGCGGATGGGCGCCCACATTGAAGCCCGTCCAGCGATTAGTTTTCAGCTCCGCGTCCATGTAAATCTCTACAGAGCCAACATTGGTGGCACCCACCGCTGTATAGCTAAAGAAACCGTGCTTCCACTTGCCCATGTAGAGCACACGCTCGTTCAGACAGAATAGGCCGGGCAGCCAGCTGGCCACCTTGGGGCTAACCGATAGCAGTTCGCCGGAAAAATGACGTCTAACTGTCGGCTCCCAAGCGGCGGGCGAATGAAAACGATGATAATCACCCGGCGCCAGATAGATGACGCATTGATACAGCTCTGTGGAACCGTCGCGCTTCCTTTTCAACGCCTCGGCATAGCTCAATGGCTCATTCGATTGCTCGACCGTCTGCAGCGGTCCCAAGAAATCCTCGATACTATAATTGACGCCCTTCACCTGTTCGATCAGCGAGTCGGAGGCGCTGCCAAAATGCAGCACCTTGCCATCGGCTGGCGAGACCAGAGGCGAATTGGCGTCAATGATCCGCACGCCCTCCTTCAACGGGCGTGTAAAGAATTCGGCCAGGCTTGTGTAGTGATTGTAGTCCGGATACAGAGCCTCGTCGATGTTTACCTTAAAAATACTCGAATACCAGCCATAGATGTAGGGACGCAGGGGATTGGGCATGTAACACGCGGCCAGCCAGCCCCAACAGCGGCTCATTATGCGCAACGGCAGCGAGCAATAGACCCTCGACTGGAACTCGGAAGCGGTCCGTTGTGTGCCATCCCGTCCGCAGCGTAACTTGTGCAACTGCCATTCGATGGCACCAAAGACGCACAGGCCCATGGGTGCCCAGCGCAATAGAAAGCCGGTCCAGCGTGAGAGCACATTGCGGCGCAACTGTAGCTGCGTCTGTTGTCTGATGCGTTCCGGTTTTGGCTTGGCCGCCGTTGACTCATTGGAGGCGGCATTCGATGGCAATTGTCGAAAGTGCCGAAGCACCGGCCAATTTCCATTCTGTTGCACATGCTTCGGCTGCTGCTGCTGCTGCTCTTGTATTGCCTTCCTGATGTTGCCCGCCTTCAGCAAAAAGCGGCCGCGCGGCACAAAATATGAAACCATAATTGCTCAAAGCTCTCGTGTGTTTTCTCGTTCTTTCTGTGCGCAGCACCCACAATTGTTGCGACCACGCCGCCGCAGTCGCCGCCGATTACGTATTACGTATTAGCTGTTGTTGTGCGTGCGCTGCTCTCGCTGAGATTCAAAAAGAATGGCACGATGGAATTGAGGTGTGTTGTGAAAAACCCTAAATCACAGAGCTGCTAATTAAATATATAATTGTCTGAATCTGTAAACATGTGCATATAGCTGCAGCTGCTAAGAGTTTATGTCAGCAAATTTGGTTCTGATCAAGTTTTCAATGCGCAAGATGCGAGGGCGAAAAATACTTCCGTAATGTAGCACTGCCTGGCGACAACTGAAAGATCAAAATGAACGGATAATGTGTGGAAGATTGCGTATGTGTGTGAAGGCGCCATAATGACTACGTCGCATGTGCTTTGCTCACCAAAACAAACGCTCTCCGCTCCGAGCGACAGCTTCTGCTTGCTTATCAATTTGCCTTTGGGTGGGTTAATTCGTGTTGTTTGTAATAATCAACAATCGTTATTCGTTATTCAAGGTTGCCTGGCGCACGCCAAAACTCTTTAGTGGACCAATGTTTGTCGTTTACAAACAGGTTTTTTGTTTTTTATTTCAAGCTATATACGCATTTGTTTTGGCCTCTGTGAGTTGACAATTGTTTTGTCAACCTTTTTATATTTTTTTAATACTAACTGCGCCGCAGCTCTTCGCTGCGGGGTGGCAACTCTACCATAAGCGCATCGAACAGCTGATTGATGGTGTTTTACTTTAATTTGCAGCAAAATTAAGTTTTATGCACTGATTAGAAAACATACTCAAAGGCCAAATCATGAGTGAGGCGGAAAAGCAGGCGGTATCGTTCGCCTGCCAGCGCTGCCTGCAGCCCATTGTGCTGGACGAGCATCTGGAGAAGATTAGCGTACATGCTATGGCTGAACTTTCATGTAGGACACTGTTGAAACAAAAAATATACAAATATTTTCTTACGTATGAGATTTGTTTTCAGTGCCCATCTATGGCGGCAATGTGAACACTATCGATCCGCAGGATGCCACCAGCTTTGATCACTTTGTGCCGCCTTTCAGGCTGACTGACTCCATTAATGGCACGGGATTCACACTGGTATCGGATGGACGTGATAGCAAGAAACTGAGCTCTGCATTCAAGCTGAAAGCAGAGCTCTTCGATTGCTTGTCCTCCAACTCGGAGATAGATCATCCGCTGTGCGAGGAGTGCGCCGATTCCATGCTGGAGATCATGGACCGAGAGCTGCGCATAGCTGAAGAGGAGTGGCATATTTACAAAACTTATCTCAACGAACTGGAACAGCAGCAGGAGGGGCCAAATGTGGAGGCCCTAGATAAGGAACTGGAAGAACTCAAGCAAAGCGAGCAGCAACTACTGACCGCACTGGCGGACCTAAAGGCCGAGGAAAAAATCTTGAATGATGCCATAAAACAAGAAGAAGTGGAGAAGGAAAAGCTGCATGAGCAGGAGGAGAGCTACTGGCGCGAGTACACCAAGCATCGTCGCGAACTAATGCTAACCGAAGACGACAAACGCAGCCTGGAGTGCCAGATAGCCTACTCAAAGCAACAGCTGGACAAGCTGCGGGACACCAACATATTTAACATAACATTTCATATCTGGCATGCCGGACACTTTGGTACAATCAACAATTTTCGACTGGGACGCTTGCCGTCTGTCTCCGTCGACTGGTCAGAGATCAACGCCGCCTGGGGACAGACGGTGCTGCTTCTTTCCGCACTGTCGCGAAAAATTGGCTTGACGTTTGAACGCTACCGCGTTGTTCCGTTCGGAAATCATTCCTATGTCGAGGTACTAGGCGACAATCGCGAACTGCCGCTCTATGGCAGCGGAGGCTTTAAATTCTTTTGGGACACAAAATTTGATGCGGCCATGGTGGCATTTCTGGATTGCTTGACGCAGTTTCAGATGGAGGTGGAGAAGCGCGACACCGAATTCCTATTGCCGTACAAAATGGAAAAGGGCAAAATAATTGATCCTTCCACAAACAATTCCTACTCCATCAAGTGAGTCATCTAGCTGCATTTACCAATAATGAATTTACATTTTTGCCTGTCGTTTTAGAATACAATTCAATTCTGAAGAACAATGGACGAAAGCCTTAAAGTTCATGCTAACGAATCTGAAATGGGGTCTGGCCTGGGTCTCATCCCAGTTCGTCACGCAATAAAATTGTGGATTTTGTCATAATTTTAATTATATTATACAAATTACTGCTTAGAATTACAAATAAATTCCTTAACATTTAACCGCCCTCTTTGTATCAGCTTCCACTTCGCTGTCGTCGGTGTCGGAATCGCTGCCGCAAATTGCATCATCAATCCAAAGCGCGCCCTTGTTCTTTTTTGCGGCTGTTGCTTTGCTGCCGGCGTCACCTTTTCGTTTGGAACCAATTGTCACATTGGTGCTGGATGAAGCTGGAACATCTTTGGTTGCAGCGGCACCCACTGTTTCAGTCAACTTGGCTTCCTCGGCCTGCTTTAGGCCCTCCTCGAATGCATCATTCACCTTTTCGGCCAATTTGGCTCTGGCCTCCTCGTATTCGTCGTCTTTAAACTCGTGTTTGGGCACCGCCAGCAACTTCGCTATTTTGCGTTTCTTGCGCTCCTCTGCTTCCCGTTCACGCTCGCCTTGCTTTTCCAGCCATGCCCGGACACGTTTCTCTTCGTTTATGTCGCGTAAGCGACGTCCACTTAAATCGCGGCAAGCCTCTCGGTTTGTGGTCTTCTCGATTTGGGCGCCGATGGCCCGCAGCATAGAGCCGAATCCACCCTTACCGCCCACCTGGCGGAGGATGCAATGGATGTTCTCAATCTCATGTTGTCCATCAATATCTTCATTTAAACGTTTGCCATTGCACGTGAGATAATAATCTCCAGATTGTAAATTCTATGGATGGTGTTTACATTAATTTTTAGAAATTTACAACTATTTTAAGTACTTACTGTTGTTTCCTCGATGTGAGTGCATATTTGTTTAAAATTTAAACCGTTTGTCTTGACGGCAATTAACTGTTTATTGTTTAAGAAAATATTAATCAGCATTTTGTGAATTTTCTTTTCTTCTGTTGTTCCCCTTAGCTATTCTGCTTTGTGCAGCTACTTCAGCCCCTTGAGCGAGCGTTAGAAAGAGAAAGCGATGATGCAAGCGTTTATCAGACTGCACAGTGTTGCCATATTTTTAAAAGATTATTAAAATCGTTTTAAATTTGTTAAGACGTTGTTGATTTTATTTGCAAGACACTTGTGATAACTACACATAAAAAAATAAGAAACTATTAGGCCAGAATAAAGAGTGCGTATATTGTTTCTGGACACTTTGTGGAATTGCCGCCATTGAAACAAGACAATTAAACCGAGTTGGCAGCACTTACTCTACACACAAAGTGCTCATTTAATTAGTTCGCATTTTAGACGACGAAAGGTAAAAATTTGGCGACGCGTTTATAGAACTATTTAACCAATATAAGAACGAAAGAAATTGAAATATATTAAAAACCGGTAGCGGCTGTAAATTACTGACGAATGATATGTGTTAATATAGCGATGATGAAGTGGAATGCGGTAAATTTACAACCGCAGCCACGTCACAGAACGCAATAAAATTAGTGAATTTTGGAAATGAAATCTGAAATTCTAAGCTGAAAGCAATGCCAGCCATGTACAATGCGCAGTGTTCGATGATGGCAGCAGCGGTGGTAGTTGTGTTAATGATAATTCTAGCTTTCCGCATCGGTTTCGGGTAGGAGGGGAGCAAATCGAACAACGCTTAGCATAAAAGATGGCAGCAGAAAAGTGAACAAGATATGTACATACATATGCACATACATACATGCATTTATACATTATGCATACATGCATGTATATGAATATATATATTATTCAAAAAATAAAATAAAATAAAAAACGTCGCGGACAAAAAATGTTGCATTGCTTAAGCAAAAACAAAATATTCTAATACAAAAAATCGACGGTATAATTTACATTGGAATGAGTCTCAACGTTCAATTATCAAAAGCAAAATAAGTGGCAACTCATGTGAGAAGCAACCCAAAACGCAAACAAAAAGACAAACGCGACGCCTTTTGGCTTTTCCGCCCGTGTCGCCGCCGTTTCCTTTATTTTAACTGTGACTTTGACAAACGCTTCGTTTCATCGCTGACAAAGTCAAGTTTATGCGGCTTTTAAATTGCAACTAAAATTGGCATTTAAATGCATTTGTTATGCCATCAAATCGATCAAATCCGCTTTAGATATATTAAACTAATGCAACCGTGTGGGTTTTTTTTTTTTTGTATGTTGGCCGGTTTCGGTTTTTGCAAATTTCCCTTTTTCTCCATGTTCTCTTCCATTGTGTATTTTGTTATCGACGGTCATTCATCTCCTAGTTGATTTTCGTTTATTCTTTCTCCCCCTTTTTCTATGCGCGCGCGAGTGTGTGTGTGTTTGAGTGCGTGAGTTTGTTAATGCTCTATAATTATATATGCTTAAAAATATTGCTAATTGAATCGCGAAAGTTGTGTAGTTCAATTTATTAAATACCATGGGCTTTACTGGCTGTCTGCTGCATTTAAAATGGCCAAACGTTAGGTTTTCACATTAGCTGAAACTCGCGGCCCTCGCTTCACATTCTGTTTTTGAGCGAGTATTCGTGTGCGGGTGTTTGTGTGCGTGCGTCTCTCTCTCTCTCTCTGTGTGTGTGCGTGCGTGTGTGTGTGTGTGTGTGTGTGTGTGTGTGTGTGTCTGCAATGCTTTTGCTTTACCCGCTGCCTTTGTTTCATATTCGCACTAGCACTCGCACAACATTGTCCATATCAAATGCTCGCCTAATTCCCCATACCTATAATTCGATCATGTGCTGTTTGCTTGAATTGTGGATTGTGGACTTGAAATAATTAATGTTTTCAAATCACAGTCGATAAATTATTATAACAGCATATACATATTAACTATACATAGCCTTAACTAATATAAATTTTGTTGCTTAATATTCGTTCTTGTTGCAGTGATTCCGGTCATCGACTACGAATCCAACCAATCATCTGGCGAACTTTCACTTCAGCAAGTGTTTTCATATAAATACATACAATTTTGTACCAGAAATGAGCAGAAATTCGGTTGATATACATGCAAGCTATCAACCGCAGCACTGAGATAACATATATATTTTCTACAACAAAAACGTTTGGTCTAGAGTAATATTTAAATTAAGCTCGAGCTCTAATGTACAACTCTCAAGGAGTATGTAGACAACAATAACAACAAGCTAGAGGGCACATCAATATATTCCAAAACACTCCATTAGCGCATAGTTAGAATATATATTAAAGAAATTTATCGAGAACAACAGCAACAGAAACAACAACAGCGAAAGCGAAAGCAATAAACGACGAACCTCAGCGTTAAGCAAAAAGATTTACTATTAAAAAAATATATCTAGAACTATATACACTGATATATTTAAATATAGAGTAGTTGTATAGTCCACAATCGGAATCGGAATCGGTATTCAAAATTGTTTTGAACAGAGAGAAGAAAATTTATAACAGAAGAAAAAAAGAATTAGAAAAGTTTTCGTTGTTTTAGTCATTAACTGAAGTCTTAGTTGTTCAAGTTGAACGATATATATAATATATATATATACATTTTGTATATGATTGTGAACGTGCGTGCATTGCATTTTTATATCAAAACAAAATAGTTAGATATCGCAGGCATCTAGTTTTTTCTGATAACAGTGTTTTTGTATTGATGTGGACATTAGTTGTAGATTAGTTAATACAACGCATCCAAAGGACGACAACAGCAGCAACAAGAGAGGCAGCAGCACCAGAAGCAATAGGTAAAAACCAAATCAATCGAAAACATCAGGATCATCAGCAGCTTGCATCTGGCAAACATGGACGAGTCGCAGCCAAAGACATTGTATGTGGGCAATCTGGATGGCTCGGTTTCGGAGGATCTGCTGATCGCGCTGTTTGGCAAAATGGGTCCAGTTAAGAGCTGTAAAATCATACGGGAACCAGGCAATGATCCCTATGCCTTCATCGAATATTCCAATTATCAGGCGGCCAGCACCGCCCTGACGGCCATGAACAAACGTGTTTTTCTCGACAAAGAGATCAAGGTGCGTTTCCACAAAATATGGTCATAAATATATATTTATATTGACAGTTAAATTTATGCCTACTTACAGGTCAACTGGGCCACTAGTCCGGGCAACACGCCCAAGACAGACATCAGTTCGCACCATCACATATTTGTAGGAGACCTTAGTCCAGAAATTGAGACGGAGACACTGCGCGAGGCGTTCGCGCCATTTGGCGAGATATCAAACTGTCGCATTGTGCGCGATCCACAGACCATGAAATCGAAGGGCTATGCCTTTGTGTCATTTGTTAAGAAGGCCGAAGCTGAGAATGCTATTCAGGCAATGAACGGCCAATGGATTGGTTCACGTTCTATACGCACGAATTGGTCAACGCGCAAATTGCCACCTCCGCGGGAATCGTCCAAATCGGGTGGCCAAGGTGGCGGCATGGGTGGCATGGGCGGCGGCGGCGGCGCCGGTAATGGCATTAAGAACCAACGACACACCTTTGAGGAGGTGTACAATCAATCGAGTCCCACAAACACCACCGTTTACTGTGGCGGCTTTCCGCCCAATGTCATCAGCGATGAACTGATGCATAAGCATTTCATGCAATTTGGCCCCATACAGGATGTACGCGTTTTCAAGGACAAGGGCTTCGCGTTCATTAAATTCGTTTCAAAAGAAGCAGCGGCCCGCGCCATAGAACATACGCACAACAGCGAGGTGCACGGCAATCATGTCAAGTGCTTCTGGGGCAAGGAAAACGGCGGCGATAATTCGGCCAACAATGCAGCCGTTGCGGCGGCTGCCTCTGCAAATGTGGCAGCTGTTGCGGCAGCCAATGCAGCCGCTGCTGCGGGTGCTGCCGGCATGCCTGGACAAATGATGACGCAGCAACAGATCGCTGCAGCCACTGGGGCTGCGTTACCCGGCCAAATGATGACGCCCCAACAGATAGCTGCTGCTACGGCGGCGGCGCAGGCGCAGTATCCCTATGCGGCAGCATACCAGCAAATGGGCTACTGGTACCCACCGGCGGTAAGTAATAACTCCAATGCATTCCAAATTCTATGCTTATCTATCTACCGCTAATCTCTTTCAGCAGAGCTATCCGGCCCAGATGCAAACGCAGTACATGCAGCAGGGCTATTATCCTTACGCCTACGCCACTAGTGCTCAACAAGCGGGAGGCGTTCGTACGTATCATACCAATTACACTACGATATATTTAGCTTAAACCCGCATAGATCTACTTAAGCACAGGCCAATTATCTATACGTATATGCAGACAAATTAGACTACGACCTCTATCTACATATCTATTGGAGAAGTTACTAGTACTGTTTTTGAGAAGGTTGGAAATCCAACATGTTAGAATCATTAGGCATATTGTTGAGGATATAGATTTTTCTGTCGTGTAGAAGCCAATTATTTCTGTTGTCCGAAGTTGAAGCGATTAACGCGTATGTTAAAAACATAGAAAAGCTAGGAGTTTGGTAAAGGTATCTTAAGAGATAAGTGTTTTGAAATGAAAACCTATTGTTTTCCGTCTTTAAGATCTTGTAATGCATGCAACGAGGAGTTAAAGTAAAGCTTGGCTGTTGATACTAGTCAAGAATATATAGTATATACTTTATGGGATTCAACATGCATATTTACCAAATAGAAATTCACATGTTATTAAAGAGGATGCCAGCTACTGAGAATTATAATTGCTACATATATATATAGAAAAGATCAGTCGAACTACCGTTTATTAATTGATTATTTATTGATATTTAACGTGTTGTCCTTTGCAGCTGCCGGGTACCGTGTGATGCCGCCAAATATGGCATGGGGAGTGCCAGGCGCCACTGTGGTGCCAGGCGTGTCTGCCGCTGCCAGCGCGGCTGCTGCCGCGAACGGTTCACTTGCCCCACAGATGATGTACAGCGCTGCGATGCCACAATATCAAACCCAATGAGCGGAGACGTGACGCCTGCTTCGACGCCGTCTGCAATATCCAGACAGCCGCTGCAACCAACGACCACATCCGCATCAGCGTCCGCAACAGCAAAAACAACAACAATTACAACAAAAACAACAACAACAACAGACCAAAAACGTGTTCGAGTCTGAGTCAACAGCAGGCACCGATGACAACAACAACAATAATAACCGAAGCAGCAGAACAAACTGCGACAACTGAATCTTAACTTAATGTTTGAGTTCCAATCGTTTCTGGGCCCAACATTGTGTTGGTTTAGTTTGTCTGGCTGTGCGCTAGTTTTTGTCATCAATTGCCCTTTGTTTATGCAGATATGCAGACATGATGTGCGTTTAGCAAAAGTAAAATGCAGCTGGTCGGAGCAAAGCGTTGAACTAAAAGTTGAATCGTGCGCAGCGAAGCTCTGGGCGACGGGCGGGTAGCTGTAACAATCTAATCCAATCTAAGTACATGTTAAAATAATTTAATAATTTGTAATTTAAGGCAGATATAGGCGTATACAAGAAACGAAAACAAACACAAAAACAAAAACAAAACAAGTAACGTTTAAACAACATCAACAATTGAATAAAATAAAACAAACAAAAGCAAAAACAAAAACAATCGATCGTGACAAAGCAAATTGTAATTGTGGATTTGCAATTAACGTTTAAATATTGTGCGTCTCAACTGAGAAGGCAAACAAATGCAAATTAAACAGGCCGAAAATAAAAGCATAAACAAATTTAGGATTTAAGCGATTGTAAATGCGAGCATATATTCATAATTGCGATATGTGAATTATGTATGTAAAAAGTAAAATAAAGAAACAAAAAAAATATATAAAACTGACGAATGCCCACTTTCGGATGGCTGTCTTATCAATAATTAAAGAAAGCAAGATCGATATTTATCGATATTAAAATAGAAGGTATAGGTAGGTATAAAGTCTCTGGCTTTTGTAGTTTCCTAGAATGTCGGACTCGTACAGACGGACCTGGTTAGCCAGACGCAATTCGTTGGCATCAAGAGATTTTCTACCACCCACAATGCGATCTAATGATTGGTTTGTTATTGTCAATGCATTGTTGATCATCGGACCTTTTTGTACTACACATTGCTTTCTGATTGCAGAATTCTGCTGGACAAGAAACTACATTTTTTAATGTGGCGTTTACTCCGTAGGGCTGTATTACCCCGCCCCAAGCAAGGCACAGCATCCCCCATTGGTGGGAGGTGAGACTGACCCTAATCCTCAGCTGGTCTCTACCACCGGGTTACCTATCTGCTTTAAGGATTTTTCGGGGGAAGTGTTCTTCGATGGGCTACGATAAAATATATTTAAGTATATAAGGCTCTCATGAGTCAGGAATTTTTCTAAACCATTGTAGTTCAGCACGAGGATTGAAAAGTAAGTATATACATACATGCTTCCTTATACGTTAAGCTATTTAAGATCCGTGCTAACAGTGCCAAATGAGTCGAGTACCGATGCGACTTAAAAAGGACATTGTTCGACAGGCCATCTTCCAATGTTAATTCAAATTTGTATGTGTGTTATTTTTTTGAATCAAGAAATCTTTCTTCACCACGCCGAAGATTAAAATTATATTTATGTACAATAATGTTTTGCGGTTTCACAAATATGTGGGAAGAATAGGGAAGAGCATGATTGCCGTAGCTGGTGAATATATCTTTAAAAACTTTATTTTTCCTTAAAATTAAAATCGTATGTTGAATTCATCTGAAAGACAAGAGTTTTAAAATTACGTTTGATTTAAATATAAGTATCGAGATCGAAGCCGTCGATCACACAGCTCTTTAACTGTTATATGGAAGAAATTACTCGGTTGGCACTGTTAAACTTCTTTTATTTCTTAATCACTTAAGTTTAAAGATAATATATTATCTTTCTGACACCAAAAATCGGCCTTGCTTGTAACTGAGCATAGATTTGTTCTAAAAACAGAATAATTTGAATCTTTATTGTCTACGGGCCATAAACTGGTTAAATGTCCTACGGTAATTTAACTAAAAAATTACCTTTTGGTTTTGTACTCGGGAAATTTGTATTTGTCTATTTATGAAGTGCGGTCACACTCCTTTTGGTCGCGCGTTGGTTTTTTAATTTTTTCACTGGCGTCGGTAGCATTTTTGGTCTCGCCACGATTTTAAAGGCTTATTCATTTTAAAAATAATCTGCTGTGTTTTAAAAAGAAAAAGGTTTGTTTTATTTTTGCATATGCCTATATATATACATGTATGTATGTATATTTCCATAAAACCAAGTGTAGCTGTCATTTATTTTGTGTTGTGGTAGGATTCGAGTCTGGGATAGACAAAGCATGCACAGTTGCCGGGCTTCGATTGCAGATAATAAAAGACTGCGAATTCGGTGAAATATATAGAGTAATATGAAACTATAAAAAATGTGTGTGATCGATATGTTTACAAAAATGCTCGCGTGCATATGTCCAAGTCTAAATAGAATGTGTGTATGTACTTATTTTTTTTATCATTTGTCGCTGCAGCTTCCGCCATTTTTAAAACAAACCCCGTCAATTGAGCCTGTCTGGTACAGTGGTGGCAAAGCATTAAGGTAAAGGGCACAACGCTACATATCTTGCTAATTTTGAAGAATTATCAGCAATTCATTCGATTCTTATCTATAAACTACGATTATATACGAATATTTAATTGTAAGAACTAAGAACAGAAAGAAAAACGATTATATGTCAACTGGCGCAGACAGTGCTCAATATTTTGGCGCGCGCTGTAACCCGCCTTTTTATCTATGTATGTATGTATATGGATGTATGTGCAACATAAGTATGTGTGCCTTTGTTGCAGCTGGGAAAAGTAGTTTGCATTTTATGTTTATTTTTATTTTACGAATCAAGTAATTTATAACGCGTACTTTGTACTGGCAATGTAAACATCAAAATTAATTTTAAAAATACATACATACTTATGTATACACCCGCTATGCTCGCCGCTTTGTCGCACTTACTTATATACATACTCAGTATATTGCCTGTGTTTGGTTTATGAAAGTGCTGCAAAACAAAAAAAAAAAAAATACAGTGACGGCGCGAGGGCTTGGCGCATAACTATATGCATGTGAGTGCATGTATGTATGTATTTTAATGCGCGTTTGCTTGTGTGTTACGTTTGACTTTTGCGTTTTCTGCAGCATGCGTGTGTGTGTGTGTGTGTGTGTGTGTTTGTGTCTGCGAATTTTCTCTCCTCCGTTTTATTTTTCGCGTTGCTGCCTCCTGCACTTTCTAAAAGAAAACTGCAATACACTTTGCTGCTCCCATGCATTTTTAAAACGACTCTTCCTCCATTCCTGCAATTGGACTTATTTTTTTTTCGTTGCATCGTAGCCACCCTCTGACCGGTATTTGTTGAGGTATTTGCGCTGTTTTGAAAACTATTCATGCAGTGTGCGCAAACCAGAATTACAGTAGGCCTTCGATATATGAAACTAAAAGTTGATTGCGCATTTTAAAGATTTGATATTAGCTAAAGAATTATTTAAAAATATGAAATACAAATAATATGCGATCTTCATAAGGTTGCAAACAATATACAAATAAATTACTACAAAAACTTCCACTTAGCTTTAAGTTGGTTTTATCGATTGTATACTGTATGCTTGTGCCAGCCCTTTGTTCATTTACCGGAAGCCCGTTAAGAATTTGTGGGGGAGCAAGACTTATTAAAGTGGAACGATTTCTGTTGTTGGAGCATTGACACATTAATTGATTCCGAAAATGTTGCATGCTATCAGATCGCAGCAGTTGCGATCCCTTTATATACTATATTGTCAGGCTACTGGCCATACCCGATAATCATTTACGATGTATCAATATACAGATGTTGTCCATAAAACGATTTGTGCCGCAGCTGTCCGCGGCAGGTAGCAAATCAGCTCCTGCTGCTGCTTTATCTACCTTCCTGTCTACCTGAGTCCCTAACTGCGCCTACTTAAATACTGTGCAACAACATTTGCCAGCCATTACAAAAAGGCGACTTTAAACTGTCAACACGTGTGTAAAAAATAAAAACATAAGAACGCTAAGCGTCTAAGATTAACGCCAGAAAATATTGATACAGCGAAACACGAAACTGCATCTGTGATTGATAATTGCGAAGCAACAGAAACAACAACAACTGCAAATGCAATTGTGGTAAGTGGGGTAAGAGGCGAGGCAAAGCCAGTTCTGGCAAGGAATGCGACTGCATTGTTGGGTGCAACCACAAACACGACGTAAACAAACCGCATCGCTTTGCTCTTGAATAAAATGTGAAGCGTGTTTGGTTATCTTTCGTTTTCGATGCACTTGAAGTGTGAAAAGAATTCAGCTGAGGGCTGAGCATTTCTCGGGCCTAATTAAAGCGCTTAACAAAATGTAAAAGTAATATGTTCCTGGTAGAAGTTGTTGATTTGAAGCGTCTGTTTTAACCGTATGTTCATTTTATTTCATATCTTCCAGAATCTTCGTGCAATACGAATTAGTACAAAGTAGTCGACGATCCAATGCTAAGCAAAATGGCACAACCGAATAATTTAGGAGGAGGCGGCGGCGCTCCAGCTTCAGGCGGACGGCGCGTGCCGATGTCGTTGACCGGAGCAGGCGCTGGTGGCACCACAGTGTCCCGGCTGCAGCAATCCAATGGACGGTCCAACAGTCCGCAGAACAGCAATGTGAGCAAGAAAAACGAGTCGAATATCTCTATGGGTCCATTTATAGCTCTCAAGAAGTCGAGCGTTACCCAATCGCGATCCCCCAGCACCTCCTCCACGGCCTCAACCTCCTCGTCTTCTTCCTCTGCTCCGAAAGATGATGAGAAGGGCCAAAATGGCATTAACAAATCCACAAATAGCAATCAAAAGTCAGCACAAAATGGCAGCTCAAATACTCAAGCTGTGAGGGAGCAACAGAAGCCCAAGGAGAAACAGACCGAAAAGAAGGAGCCGGTCAAACCCGAAGTTAAAGATGAAGCCGCCAAGCCAGACAAAAGCGAGACAAAACCAAATGCGCCGCCATCTGTCGAAGCCAAGACTGAGGTAGCCGCAGCCGCAGCCGCAGCCAAGAACATTGAAGCTGCTGCAACCAAGAAGGTTGAACCGGCCGCCGTCGAGGTCATTGATTTGGTTAACGAGCCCGAAGTTGCGGCAGCAGTGCCCAACACACCGAATTCAGAGCGCAAATCCTCACGCAGGGTGGCGGCGGCCGGCCAGCAAAAGTCGCCCAGCAAGCCCCAGCAAAGCGATTCGCCAAGTTCGAAAAAGCAGCCGGAGGAAGCAGAGCAAAAACCAGAAGCTGTAGAAGATGTTGAAATGGAACCACTTACAGTGGATGCCTCGCCCATACGGCACCACGTGGCAAGCACACAGCCCACAGCGACTTCCACGCCCGGACGCAATCTTTTCGGTTTCCGCAGCAGCAAGCCGACCAACGAGGTGGAGCTGGCCGCACAGCCATCCAGCTCGCCGGCAACTGCACCGGCACGCAGCTTTGCCCAGATAAGCGGCCGGCGCAGCATACGCCCGACGGCAACCCTAACGCCCGGCAAGCTGGGCAGTTATAGATGCGTTAACAGTGATCTGGACACCTCCAGCTGCACCAACACAAGCATGAATGCGACCGTGGGCTCCGAGATACCAAACAGCTCCTCGTTCTCATTCTCGTTCTTTGGACGTGGACGCAAGCGTGAGCGCACGCCCCCACCGCTAACTGGCACCCAGTCGGCCAATGATCTCGCCCAGGATGTTGAAATGTCGCCGCCGAAGCGTGCACGCTTCGATCTATTCAGCCTGAACCTGGCATCACCATTCACCATGCTGCGGTCGCGGTTTTCCAAAACTACCATCAGCACGCCGTCTACGCGCCAGACGCCGCCAGCTGGCGATGATGATGATGTTGGTGGGGTGCAAAATGTGTCGGGCACTATTAACCAGGAGGAGGAGCAGCAGCAGCTAAACAAATCGTCGGGCAGCGATGAGGTTACTGTGGGACAGGAAGCTGGCCTGGAGACACCCAAGAAAAGTGGCACGCCAGCTAAGGATGTGGTGCTGGATGAGAATGTTGAGGGCGAAGGCGCGGATGCTGTGGCCAATTTGGCTGCCGACGTGCCCGCAGAGGGCGAGGGTGCCAATAGATCGCGCTGCGCCATAATGTGAGCAATTCACTTACGCTAAGTTCAAATCCCAAGACCCAACCCAATATCTACCCGTTAACTTTAGCATTAAAGATGAGTGTCATTCATTGTTGTAACGTTGTAGTGACCATTTTTGTTCTTGCAATGTTGCATGTTTAGAGTAAGCATCTAAATTGGGCAAACACCAAATTCGTGCAGCAGTGCTGGCTGCTCCTCTTCCAGCTTGTGGAAGTTGTTAGTTACGCGATATGCACATGAGCAGCCTTTTAATGATTTCTTGCTGCATAGCTGTGCCGCCGGCGTCCAGCGTGGACGCAAGGCTCAGCTATGCAATGACAAATCTGTCTATCTCCCCAGCTAAATGATATCTGTACCCATAGTATATAAGGTACAAAATGAAAAAAGAAAGGAACAAAAAAAAACAGTATAGACAACATTTAAATTTATCATACATAAGACATATGTAGCTATAGCTGTACAAGAACTATAAGATTTGTGTATCTTTATTTTATTTGTGACCATGATTTGTATTAGTATATAAAAAAACACAAAAAGAATATGTAAAAATTCAAATATTTTAAAAATAAAGATCACTCTAATAAGCGCTTGTTTCTTTTTGGACATGTACCCGGGACAAGATCTAAATTTTATATTCTAGCGCTTAGTTAAAAACAGTCAAATAGAAATGAATAAAGTTTGCGCGGGCGTTCTTCAAATGTACTTGTTTTGAAAATCATCGAAACAATCATCGACTAATCGATAAGTTTCATGCTGTCTTGATTAATCGTTATTTTGAAGAACAGTAGTTCTTCGGAGAGGTTTTCATTTGCGTTTGCAGCTCTAACAGAATTGTGCTTTAGGCAAGTAAACATTATAAATGTATCTTGTATACCATACAAAATAATACACCAGCCCCGCTCCAGTTTTTCTTTAGAGGTAATTATTTATATCAAATTTTATTATCTGTATAGAGTCTATACATTTGAAAAGCAACGTGTCTGCTCAGGGCTGTCAACTTGTTCCGAAAATGCAACTCTGTAAATATACGATTATTGAACACTATGATAAAGAAAAAAGTCGACGCGCTGTTTAAATTGTTGCTTTGAAAACTTCGTAATAACTTAAATTAATGCTATTTAAATCGATGTATTTCAATTGTATTGTGAACGTACATTAATTAAATATGCAGATGTCTTGCCAATACTAAGAAAGTTTGCCAAAAATAACTTTACGCGCGAAAGATATCCGGCGAAGCAAAAAAGTGAAGATAATCAAGAATTAGAGGATAACATGGAACACGCTGATCCGTCGGCATCACAAATCGAGGTGCAAATTGACTACAAAACGCCAAAGAAAACAAGCTCCACTTTCGAGCACGAGGAGCTGTTAAAGAAAATTAATATATTAACTACTAAACCGGAGAATCACTCGCATAATGCAAAGGTAAATGTGTGATTACAGTTACAACACACCCACACAGTGGACATAAGCGTGCCGTTATTTGACACACACACACACACACACATACACACACACACACACACACACACACACATGTATATACACCATATTTATTTACGTTCCTGTCGCTGCAGCTGCCCACCATTAGAGATTTTGTCATCATCAAGCCCATCAGCCGTGGCGCATTTGGAAAGGTGTTCCTCGGCTATAAGAACAACGATGCTAATAAACTGTTTGCCATCAAGGTGATGCGCAAGTCGGAGATGATAAACAAAAACATGGTCTCCCAGGTGATAACCGAACGCAACGCTTTGGCCCTATCGCGTTCACCGTTCTGTGTGAATCTCTTTTACTCGCTGCAATCGATGTCTTCCGTTTATCTCGTTATGGAGTACATGGTGGGCGGTGATCTGAAGTCGCTGCTGGCCATGTATGGTTACTTTGACGAGGCGACGGCTCGCTTTTACGTGGCCGAGATGGTCATGGCCTTGCAATACCTGCACCAGCATGGCATTGTGCATCGCGACATCAAGCCGGACAACATGCTGCTGTCGGCCAGCGGCCATGTGAAGCTGACCGACTTTGGCCTAAGCAAAATTGAATTGCGTCGAGACCTGGAGATATCCGATCTCATCAATTGCTCGCCCAATCTCAATGCGCGTACGCCGGGCCAGCTTTTATCGCTCACCTCGCATTTATCCTTTGGTTCAGAGAAGAAGTTTCAGGACAACGGCGTGGTTGGTTGTGCCTTGATGACGGCTACAGGCACGGGCACCTCGCACCTAATGCAGGCTATGAACAAGCATAGCCACATCATGGAGTCCTCGGACAGCGAGGCAGACACATCGCTCAACGATGCGGAAAAGACTAGCGATAGCAAAATCTCTGGCGTTTCACCATTCTTTTCTGCCGAGGAGGTTAACATCTCCATTACGCACACGTGCAACACCAACAATAATGTAATTACAGAAGATATATATTTGTATATATATGTCATAAAATATCGTTGGTT